CATAAGTTGCAGGATTAAAGCAAGCAACCAAATTAATAATAGTGCGAAAGTTCATAAGCACAGATGATCAAGAATTACAGACCTGAACATGTCAGCATGTGACAAACAAAAATAAGCAACATTTTCTGATGGCCATTGGCCTGAATGAGAACTTTTTAAGTTAACAAAATAAACAGGATAAATAAGAAAGATAGTAACTGAAAAAATATAGCAAAAATTGAATTTCCTAAAACTACAACACTCAATTCTTCAAGGTGGTCTAACACGTTACCTCTATCTATCTCATGGTAACAGTACAACTTACCTTAAGGATTATATTTGATTATATAGTATGACTAATCAAGCAAGAATAAAAGCAACCTTACAATCAAAATGAACATTCTTTTTGAATGAGTTCATTACCAAACTCAATATTCTCGTTTGGGTCAAATGAGAGCTTGAGAAGGAAACCATTAAAGTGGAAAGGGTGAAGCCTGGCCTTGTAAGGAATCATTTATTTATTTATTCAAAGAAAACTTGTTTGTTTACTAGATAATGTAGTATCATCTAAGTGCAGTGCTTGGAAACTTCAATAGCTGTTATAAAGATATAATACGAAGTCTGTTTCAAAAAACAATAAACAAAAACAAAAACAAAAAGGCTCTCTCAATAAATTAGCAATAGCAAACCATAAGGGATCATTCAAATTCCCAGCAATCAACCAGAGACCAAAATTCATTAATAAAAAGGAAACTTGCAGAGTGACCTGCTGCAAAAAAAGTAAGAAATAAAGAAGGTAAACCCCAAGGTGATGACTAGAGGAACAGACCTATAGATGATGTAAAAAGAACTTACATGCCCGCATTGTCAATGTTGTATTTATTACAGATCTCAAAATCTTTGAGGTCAGCACAGTTATCCACTCTTTGGCTACATCAAAATCAATATACAGCAAACTTCAGAACCAGAACTACATTACTCAATAGTAAGCCAGAGTACAATTCTATTGAAATCCAAACAAACCCAATCTTTGTCTAAAACAAAACACTTGCCTAGACAACAAAAAAAGAGCTCTAGCAGTAAGCAATTTCAAGAATTTACCACTTTCAACATCATTTCAATTCCAAAAGACAATCTCTCTTTTTTTTCTTTTATTTTTTTCCAATTTCTTTGGAAATCTACCATAAACAAGGATTTGGGGATACCATATTGTTGCAACACTCATTTGCACCATGTGTTTGAAGAAATGTAGCAAAGAAACTCCACCCATGAAACAGAAACTTACGTTAGAACAAGCTTGAGAGATCCATTAATGGACAAAGCATAGCACAGACAGCATCTCTAGACGGTGAATCTTCGTGCACCAGCTGGAATGGAATCAAGTTAAATCCTTTCGTCGCCTTCCTCGAGACACTCCTAATGCCCGATTGAGACTCTTCATCTACGTGGGTTAAAACCAATTATAAAACCAAAATTTCGCAATCAAGACGAGCAATCTAAGTATTCAGATAGTACCAAGATTTTGTGGAGAAGCACGAGGAAGAATGGCACGGCGAAGGATTCTCCATCTCAGAGAAGAAGCCTTGGAAAAAGAACTATCCCCGCCAGCTTCCATCTCAGAGAAGCAGACTACGAAGACCACGGCCGCAGCCGTTTTGCTGCAGCGGTTTTGGAGTGGTTTGGGATAATCGAAACTTTTGAGTTGTTTTGGTAAAATCATTTTCGGAAATTTTTTATTGGCAAACGAAATGTCAAAAATACTTTTTTTAATGATTGAATGAAGAAATGTTTTACCATTTAAAATAATTTAAATAATAAAATAATAAATTTATGATTTAATATGCTTAATGATTAATAAGATTTTTCTTTGTGTTTTCATTATTATTTTTTATTTTAATAGTATAATGAGAGATAATTATTTTTTATTTTTTATTTAACTGTTAAACACCTGTATTTTATGTGACTCGAAATAAAAAACTTTTACTTTTAATGAAAGAAAACGATCACTTAATTATTTAATTAGTTGACGAGTTTTTATACTTATAACATCTGTATTTTATGCGACTTGAAATAAAAAATTTTTATTTTTAATGAAAAAAAACGATCACTTAATTATTTAATTAGTTGACGAGTTTTTATACTTATAAGCCCCCGTATAACTGTGATTTAAAAATATGATTAATAATTTTATTTAATATAAGATTTGATACATGAAGAATTCATTATACATAACTTTACAAATCAAATCAAATATTATACAATAATTTCATTTTCAAAAAATGTAAAAATTAAAAAAAATTATTTATACACGTATTTACGGGTCTGCGAACTACACCATGACACAAGTGCTTAACGAAAACACTCCACAGAAAACAACTCAGAAAACGGGACAGCCATTACCAATGACATTTGGGTCCGTTGGGCAAGAAGCCAATGGACATCCATCTGAATTACTTCCCCACCACTCAAGGCTGACATGGTTCATCTCCAAGCACAAGTATAAGAAAACCCCCATGAAGGCTAATCCAGCATCGAGTGCCCCGGAAAGGACATAGTTATGGCGGCTCCACCAGCCGCGATAATACCTGTAAGCAATAAAACCTGAGGCAAATGCAATAAGAACCCAACTGGTGAGGTTGACTGCAGTTGCTGGTGGCATGTTGACGGTTGCACCAAAGAGCACTGGCATGGTGATGAGTTTGATCCAGTGTTTGGTTGGGAAGGCCTTGTGTGCAAGCCAAACTAGGAGAGGAGCTATGGCGCCAACTAGAAAGAACCAATTTATGACAGAGTAGTGGCCAAGATCACCAAAAATTCTACGAGGACCAATCAGACCCCAGATGACAGAGGCATCATAGAATACGTGATCACCGGGACAAGTCCATGGGCTGCTGTTGGGAAGCAATTCTCTATCACAAATGTTTGGAATTGTGTCCATGAGCCACCATGCTGTTCCTAAATGTGCCAGTGCTGCTATTATTGTACCAACCACCTGGAAATGAGATTGCATCATAAAAAGATTTGAGGACAAAAATAACATATCCACCTTAACAAATTTGCCTCGTTTTGGGAAGACTTGGAGGGAAGTGAACCTGTGCTATGAACATGGCTCTAGGAGGAATCTTCATGTAATGGCCGAGCTTGAAGTCTTGCAAAAAGGTGATACCCTGTTTCATACTTATGTATCCATATACTTTAAAGCATATGTTAGCAACAGGATACCCTGGATAAAGATACCCAATTATGTATTCTGTGATCACATTCAACGCTGGTGTCTGCCAAAGAAGAACTTATGTATCAGAATACCAAAAGTGAGCCAACAAAAACTCACAGCAGAAAGAGATGGCAAATGGATATAAAAGAAGAAAGAAAACTATATATATATATATAATTTTACATTTGGATAATTTGCAAATTAGCAAAATTGGTGATTGCAAGAAGAGGTGGAAAAACAAGGGCATCCAAATTATAGAAGAAGAGGATAAAATTTATGAGGCCACCGACAGGGATTTATCTGGATTGTTGCCTGGGGAATTGTAAAAAAAAAAAAAAACTTTAAATTGTCGAACAGTGTGGAATAATACCTGGTTCGTTGTAGCAGTTATGACTCCAACAGGGAGAGTGAAAAATATGGCAAGACCACAAGCTAACAATACGCCCCACCATGGCAATTGGAGTTGATCATTGTAATACTCACAGGTAATAATGGTTGCGGTAACGGTTGCAACAAGGATGCACATGAACCACCACTGAGGCACTTGCTTGTATTTTCTCATGATCTTTGTGTGCACATCCATCCTCTTCTCCTGGAAGGCAGACTTGCTTAGTTCCCATATATCTCTGCACCATTTAAACACTTATAAGCAAACTGGTGTTTGACAAAAGCTAACACAATGTTCTAAAACAAACACTTGCATACAATTATAGGTTGCAATAAATGACCAACACCAACAATCCTTAAGCAAATGGTTTAGTGTAAAATGTGGCTAACCTCCCATGGAAGAGGAACACATGAACAACGGTGGCAGTCAGGCAAGCAAAACAAATACCATATGCAATGGCAAAAAAGGTGCTGAGATAAAGAGGGCCCTCGCGCTCATATGCCTCAATATCCAAGTGAAAATTTGAGTCTGTAATGGCCGAGATATTGTACCTTTGGCCCGAAGAAGCAAATAGACCATCCGAGAAAATGGGAAACCTCTTGGCCTTGAAAATATTGAGCCAATAGGCAATTGGGGTAATAACATAAGTGACAAGAGTAAAACCAATGGCAATGTTGACAGTAGCAAACCAGGGACTAGCAAGCGGACTACCAAGGTAAGCAGAGATGCTAGACCAATCAAATCCAATGGCCCCAATACCCAATCCATGAAGCCCTGAACCTAGCTGGTGCGCTAGAATGGAAGTTGGGAAAATCCAACATATCCAGGACATGGAGGTCAGCATTGGGAAAAGGTAGCCAGGAAAAACATAATACGCAAAGCTGCAGACGAATGCTATGAGAAAAAATTGGTTTCTTGTTATCCCTCTCTTAGGCCTTTCCTCTTCCTCATGCAATGCCCTGTAATTTCATAATATTTCAGATATTGCTATATCCATATTTACCTCAATTACAGAAAAAAAAAAGAAGAAGATACCAGATTCTGTGAATCTAGGGGTTGAATCTTATTAGGTAGACTAATTTTTTTGAACGGTCAGTCTCTTCTAATTAACTTTTACTAATTCAACACTAATTAAAATTCTCCATAAAACCCATTACCTATTTTCAAAAAACTTCCTCCATACAATAATACACTAAAATAAAATTTAATTATTTTTATTTTTATATAAATTAATTATAAAAAAATATATTTATTATATTAAAATATGTAAAGATGGTCAAAACAAACCCCTTTACTAAAAAGGCACCCTTACACATTAACACGTGTATTAAGCGCTGCATTATTGGCACGGGACAGATTAATTGAAAGAGAAAAGGCTACAGATTTTGCGGTCGTACCTGAATAGCGAAACTTGGACAAGATTCTGCGGCCACCACATGGAGGCAGGCTCCACCAAGTAGCGTCTGAACATTCCGGCCCAACCGAACCCTAACACCTGTGTGGTCAAAACGACAAGCAAGGCCACCAAAAACGTCATCTCCTTCCTGTAGAATATCTTCACAGCGCTGACGATGTGAATCGCGTAGACATTTCCCGCGCCGGAGTTGGCGAAAATTGTGACCAGGACGTGCTCCTTGACATTGAATGGTCCTGGATTGAGGGTGAATTCCCATTTCCGGCCCTTGAAGAAGACTCTGTCCGTGATCGTGGCGGCCATGAGGTGACCGAGAGGGACTACCGCGATCTGCGCGGAGACGGATGAGATGGTGAGGGGTTCTCTGCGGTACCAAAAGAACTGATTGAGGAAGGAGAGAAGGATGCACGCTAGGGATCCTAAAACCCAAGTGCGGAAAGTAAGGGTCGGAAGAGAAGGATCGTCGGTGACGGGCACCGTGAGAGCCACTTGCTCGATCGGCGAGTTCTCGAGGTAGTCCGGTGCTGGGACCTGATGAGAACCGGAGGCATCGGATTGAGTTTTGTTTGACCGATTCTTCTGAACTGCACATGGGTTGATTGGCAGCAGTGAAAATCAGAAAGAAAAAAGGTGAGAAAACGAGGGAAAATGAAAGAAAATGGACTAGTGGAGAATCTTACTGAGAGGAGCTGTGATTTCATTAGTGGCGGTTGTCATCGTTAATTTTCCACCGCGTTTGAGCAGTCGATTATGGGGAATTTAATTTGAATCTCCAAGGGCCGATAGCAAATGATAAGCTTGCAATCTCACATTCAACTCTTTTCAATTGTACAACCAGTCAACTAACTCAATGTACATTTGCTTTGTCTGAAGAGATTTCCGAGTTCAAATTATATGATAAGAGATGGAATAGGAAATGAAAGGTGACTAATTTTTATTGCACCACTAATATATATATAAAAAAAAAAAACTCTTTTCAATTGGACCGTTTTCATGTCATGTTAACGTATTCAATAATAAGAATACTCATAATTATAAATTTAGTGATTAATTTGTATTAATTTTTTTTTGAATATTCTTATTATGGGACGATTAGAATCATTGTCCTTGAAGAGGGAGAGGTGAACCTGATTAAAGTCACTTGACTTATAGGTCAGGTGCAATTTGTATTAATTTTAGTTTTATACAAAATAAAAATTTTAATTTATATTTAAAAATTAAAATTTTAATTTAAAATTTAAAATTTTAATTTAAAATTTAAAATTTAAACTTTAAAATTTATTTTATTAAATATTAATATTTAGATTTAAAAACTAGTTATATATTCAAATATAATTAATTTTTAAATTTAAATACCAACATAAATTTTTAAATTTTTATTGAATAGAATGAGATAATTTAAAGTTAAAAATTCAAGTTATTTTAAAATTTGAGATTAATACACATTTTTTTCATAAATTTAATATTATTATTATCAACATTTTTAAATTAGGACGGTTGGATTCTCAAATTCATCTATAATAATATATA